ATCAGCGGCTTGTTAGCTGCTGATGACAGCTATTATTTTACAGGGGGCCGTCAGGGGGGGACCGTTTTGATATATGTTCATGGTTTTTAAAGCGACCATGAGCTTATAGCAGAAGGGAGAAAACCACTGATGTAAGGCTTACTGACCCGGCCAGCTGCAAGCGGTTGTGTTCCGCCGTAAGCCTTATGTTGGTGGCAGCGAAAGGGTTTAATGGTTTAGCAAATAGAAAGTTGAATAGTGATAAAGATTATTGAAAAGACATGAATAAGCAATCATTATCTAGGTTGAGCATGGGGGTTTAACACCACAAGGGTCAACACAGAAAACAATGCCAGACATGGTAGAGCAGACAGACCAAGTGAAGGTGACAAAATAACTGCTAAGTGGATGGTATGGCGTGCACAATAAAATGTATTAATGATATTACTATATGGAAATATACAGCATCTAGTTAGACAGAAACAATACCTTTTCGTGATCATTATTCAGTGTCATGCATCCATTTTTTTCCAGTGCTATGTACTTTTGGATGTTGCCTCGTAGAATAAGAGAACAGACATGAGATGGATTGAGACGCAGGCTGTAATTTAAATCTTTAATAGCTTCCTCTTTCCTTTGCATTGTACACCACACTAGAGCTCTGACACAGTACACATCCTGAATGAGATAAAATACATCAAATAAAAAATGACAGTCAGTGAAGTTTTCTTTGTATATGCTTTTTCAGAATGTATGTTGGCCATACGCACTACTATATGTAATGGTTAGTGCGCTGACAACAGTCACTGTGCAAGTATTTTAAAGTGTATCTAAACCCAATCCTCACTATGCTGTAGCTATGGAGAAAGGGCATTGTCATCCTAGAACACAGCTGCAGAACACCCCCTCTCCTCTTCTCCAGGAAAGATGCCCACAAAATCGAGCAAGTTCAGAGAAGCAGTGGTGTATTTTGGTTTTGTGCTGCCCTAGGCAAGACTAAACTCGGGCACCCCCCAATCTAAATTTGCCTCACCCCTTCCTGTTTAGGACATTTTGCACAACCTGTCAGTCACTGGATACAGCAAACACGGAGTCCCAGGGGAGCTGTGCATGGTCTCTGGTGGGCTGTACGGGGTCTCAGGAGAGCTGTGCAGAGTCCCTTTCCCTGCATACATGTGCTGCTCCTCTTACCAGCAGCCCGAAGTGCCATCAGTACCAACAGGATACATTGCAGTCCTCCAGCCTGCTTCTGGGACATCCCACCATCAGCTCACATGCTATGGCCAGCCCCGAGCCACCCGCTGCTTCCCCTCCACCTCCTGTACAAAGCCAGCCGGACCGCATCTCACTGGGCCCTCCACCGCGCAGCTCTCTAATTAGGCAGCTCTTAGTGCCATGCGGCCTCCTAGTTTGCCTCATTAGGCAGCCGCCACTGCCTGATTCTGTGCTGCCCAGCCTCGGCCCACCGGGCAAGTGCCCAGTATGCCCAAAGGTAAGTCCGGCTCTATCCACCTCATTGGTTTGGGGCAGCATTAGGGAAAAAATGTTTACACCAAGACCTTTGTTGATGACACATAGACACAACAAGAGGTCCGAAGAGAAGAGGTTTAATCTTAGACTGTGCAGAAGTTTTCTTGCAAGTAGTAAAATTGTGGCATTCCCTCCCACAGTCAGTGGTGTACGCTGATAGCATTGATAAATTCGAGAAAATTCTAGATGAGTTTCTTAGTTCACAAAATATAGAAGGGTATGGGAAATAATAAGAGCGTATTAAATTCGGTCAAACACACACACGGACACACTTAGGTTGAACTGGATGGACTTGTGTCTTTATTCAACCTTACCTGCTATAACATTAAGGGGGTGTTCTAAAAGCTATGGGAGGCTGTTTTTTAAGTATAGTTTAAAAAGACAACATATATTAACACTACATTTGTCAACAAACTGTTGTTTTCCTGAAACAATAGTATTAATGTTGTTGTTGTTAATATTATTGTTGTTGTTATTATTACTATTTTAATAGTAATTGTGTTATTGGTCTAATTCCAATTATTCAGCCGAAATTTTAATTTGCCATTATGTCAGTTTTGTCTGGATACCAACCAAACCGAACAACGCTAAACCCTAGGATAACATCAATTAATCTGAACTACGAGTAGGCATAAATTCCACAAAGGGCCCTTACTAAGGGTTAAAAAGGGTCTAATTTTCCTCCGATTAAAATGGAATATTCCTCTAAGCAAGTGTATTTGTAACATGAAAAAAGAAATCTTACAGGGTTTAAGCTGTCCAGAACAATAGCAGTTTCTGCATCTTGTAGAGCTTTCTTGGTTTCACCTTCAACAGAAAACAAATAGTTTATATTTGAAGCAATATTCCAACAAACAGACAAGAAATTGCATCACCTTTATGCTTGATTTGATTATTTAAGTACTTAGCATATCATTTCTACCAACTATTGTATATACTGTATATTCAGTATAATAGCAAGTTGTACTGGGTCTGTGTGAAGGTTATGTTTTAGACACTGATCAGTCCTAATTGTGGAAAATATAAACAGGAAAAAACTGCACTGACACAGTGAACATATTTATTGTTATTGTAATGTATGAATACCCACTCACATAGAGATCCATTTTGCTTAAAGAAGAACTGAAAACATTTAAAAAAATTAACCCTTGCAGTGGGGGTAACCCTGTACTGTAAGGGTTAACTGTTTGTTTTGGTCTAAGGGCTCAAATAAAAAAATATACTCACCTGAACCTCAATCCCGCCTGGCTGCTAGACTGGTCCTTACAGCCTCTTCTCCCCCGGGCTCCAGTGGTATAAGGAGCCATGACATCATCACATATGATGCAAGTTCATTCACCTGCATTAGATCTGAGGACACCGAGGGACATACCAGGGGGAGAGAGAGGCGAGTGCTCACCACACAGGACCGAGGATCAAGTGAGTATATCTTCTGTATTCCGGCCCCTAAAAAGAAACAAGCTGTTACCCCTTGCAGTGCAGAGGTAGCTGAAAAGTTAAATTTTTCAGATAACTGGAATTTTTTGTTAACCACTTCACAGCGGAGTGGTGGACGTGCATTTCTAATGTGTCAATTAGATGGTGCCGTACTTTGTGATTGCTGTGTTGACCAATAACAGTGATTCCGAATGTAAACATTTTACATATGAGGGTCCTGCCCTTCCTCTCACATCAGAGAAATGGGAGGAAGTTGCATTTGTGAATGAACATTTATGAATTAAGGGATAATAAGAAGCAGCAGATTCATTCTGAGGGGTTGTAATTGATTGTGGGAATGGTTTTTCAACCCATTCACCCCCCTCCTCTCCTGTACATCTTATCTCCAATCTGTCTCTATGTGACATGCTCATTAACTTTTTCACCTCCCTTATCCTGCACATTATCCTCTTTGTCCCAAACCTCCCACAGTATGTGACCTGTACATTAACCCCTTCAATGTCTTCTCTCTGTTTGACCTATATAATAATGATGCTCCATATCTGGCTCCATGTTTAACCACTTCAGTAACAGCATCTTTCTTCATTTTCAAAAACATTTGGCAAAAAATGAAATCACCTTGGGGTGTCTATTTTCCAAAAAGGAATATTTGGGGGCTTTTGTACTGTCCTGGCATTTTTATTTGATATGTTTAAAAACCAAAAAAGGAAACAGTTTATTTTCCAAACTTTTTTGGTATTTTTTTCCTTTATATAGTTAAATATTTTTAAAAAAACACAAAAATCAAATTCATTTGCGTACAGTGTTGCATGACTGGATAATTGTCAGTCAAACTAGCACAAAACTGAAAACTGAAAAATGGCCTTTTATATCAATTCAATTTTTATAATATGGACAGAAGGAGAAGAAAGTATTTTAAACTTCCATGAATCATTCAATTCATTCCACCCATCGATAAAAGTCAAAATGAATTTCTCAGAAGACAGTGGGGGGCATTTATCAAAACTGAAGCAGACAAAATCTGGAGCAGTTGCCTATAGCAACCAATCAGCTTCTGTCTTTAGGTTGTTCAGTTCAGCTTTGAAAATGAAAGGTGGATGCTGCTTGGTTGCCATGCTCCAGATTTTGTCTGCTTCAGTTTTGATAAATTCCCCTCGCTCTGTTCATTCTGGATCCTGCCATAACTGTCAGCAATGGCTTACTCCGTTCCTCAGTGTACAGAAAACCCACAGACAGGTACAGCTACCTCCATAATTCCAGCTTCCATCCAAATCACACTAAACAGGGTGTCATCTGCAGCAAGGCAATAGGATACCACCGCATTTGCTCTGACATTGGGGACAGAGACAAACACCTGAGCAAGCTGGCTGATGCATTTCAGTTATATATATATGTATATATAAATATATATATATTATATATATATACATACATACATACATATACACACACACGCGTATATATATTTTTTGTTGCTGCAAGCTATTGAGGTGGGTATATTTATTTTTAGCCAGTATAATCCTGCAAATGTTTCTGCACTTGGCTGTGCACTGCACCACTTAATGTTATAACAAATATCTGAGAAATGAGACTGCTTGATTGTGGATATATACTTTTTCACCAGAAGCATACTAAATGGAATACATTTGGATGTTACAGGAGATACATTCCATGGGGTATTATTTAGCAGTTGTATTCAAGAATACCAATGTGTTCATTATGACTACTGCAAACAAAATAACCGATTCATGCAGAGATAATACTTTTTTAATGTCTACATATGCATAGCTGCCAGAGAGTGAATTCTCCAAAGGCTCTTTACCGATTGGCAAGCCTATGAAAATGTATTACATGCAGTGCCTCCACCATGTTAGCAAAACAGAAAAATAGTTATGTAAAAGAACTCTTATATTTTGGCCTTTATTCTTAGCTTATAATTGTTGCAGAATATCTACTTACCTTTCCATAAATCACCCTTTTATTCTGCTATGTCTCCATGTGACAGTTTGTGCTAAAGACTGGCTTCTGGGTGGGTAAAGCCAACTATAGATGTCGTTATGTAAACCTACTTAACTCCTTAGTATCTGACCATGGCCATCTGATACAAATAAGGAGTGATATTGTGCATAACACAAATGGTTTTGGCACAGTCATGTGAGAATAACAGAATAAAGAACATCAGTACAATAAGAAAATCTTGCTATCTGGATATAGAGCAGAGGTAAGCCAGATCATTGTATAATAGACCATAGGGTACTTGGCAAACCTATACACATGAAATAAAAAAAGATATTTCAAAAGTTATGGTTAACTAAACAATCAGATTCCGCTGCTTATCTCAAGATGGCCATACAACCTTACCTCTCAACTGTCCCTCATTTGGGACCAAATCCCTCTGTCCCTCTTCCCTCCTCAGTTGTCCCTCTATTTGGTCTGATGTACAGATATCTATGAAAAGGTATACAATGTCTTGACTAATGTGTTTGCTACCTGGAAAAGCCAGCGTTCAGAGAAATAAGAGCAATGAAAGATGATTTTTATAGGTTGATATGGGTTACTGCCCTTTTCACTTTTTTTTTGGCTATGTGATTTAGCAGTCATAGTATCTGCTCTAATTTAGTCTAAAAAAAATAGTGTAATGCACCAAAACAAACAATGTGAAACAGACAGAAGGAACAACTCATAAGTGAACTCAACTGAACCTTTACTTGAAATGACTGTAAACTAATATTTGTTATGGACAGTGAGATTGAATTATTGAAGCCAAAGGGTTGGCATGGCAGCAGCTAGTATTTTAAGGAGGTCAGCCAAGGCAACCTACACATTTCTCTCAGCACAGGTTTTCTCCAAAGAGCAAACTGCCTTAAAGTCTTACTCCAGGATGGGAAAGGGTTAGAATCTTTGGCAGGTTCTTACTTATATTTGAGTCTTCGATAGAAAGAGACCTGACTAGAAATGAGAGGAAACCCAAACATTAGCGAAAATCTCATCTTTGACAGTGATCACCAGGAATTTTCCTTTCATCTCTGTTATAGTGCCAACTGCCACTAGTGTCCCTGGGACATAAAGTAAATCATACAAGCGGGGATGCAAACAGCAGTAAGAACAAGAATTGATGTTTGCTGAGTAGTTTCAATACCGGTTATTGTACCGTATGTCACTGTAATGGTTACTGTACTTTGCCCTCTTACATAAACCTGTATGATAAAATATTTATATATTTTCATCTTACCACATCTAACAAATGCAAAAGCTCGACGGGTCAATACAGGGGTGTGCAGAAATGTTCCCACAGAGCAGCCAACATTGCAGATTTTCTGTAATAAAAACAAACAAAAAGTTGTGTGCTTAAAACCAATGTATAGTGAAGTTTTAGTCAAGCAAACTGTTCCTCAAAGCAAGCAGCGCCTACTGTGCTGTCTCTAGCTAACACAGGGTGCTTTGGAAATTCTTTCTCATGCATGAAATGTCCAATTGAAAAACAAAGATTGTATATACAGTAGAAAGTAAAAACAGATATAAAGACAGTCATTAAGTTTGACAAAGCAACCAAAATAAAGCTGGCTGAGGCAATATAGTTCCGTTTAAGAGTAAACTTGTAGTGACTTCTGAGAGAATAATAATGCTAAACGCGGCCTGTAGGTGCCACATATCCAACCTTCACAGCACTGCCCACCCTCTCAATGCACCATGTGAGCTCACCTGTAAAATCTAATGTTCTTGGTATTCAGGCCCAAGAACTGTCATGAGAGAGGGAGAAGGGTGCGCCTCATCCTATGCAAATATCTACTTCCAGAAAGTGGACATTTATTTAGAAACTTTGGGGCCTCAGTGGCACAGTGGTGGGAGTGGGGTGGTTGCTGAGGTTGTGAAGGAAGAATGCGGTACCTTAGGGAGCCTACTTTCCAGCTTTCCATAATTAGTTTACTTTCATTACAATTTAGCTTTAAACATTTCTGGGCCACCAGCATTGCTCATGACTGATAAATACCAGATCTGTATGGTAACAATGTTATTTATCTGTGGACATTAGCTTGTATAGTCTTTAATTTATCTCAAATTAAAATACTAATTTTGCCCAGCAGGGGTGTATTGAAGCTGAATAAAGACCTGCTGTACTCCTACAGGGCACTGACAATGTCCGAATTACATTGTAATTTATTTTATAATTGCTTTGCCTGCGTTTAGAAAAACACAAACATTATAACCTGAGGGGGCACATAACAAGGTATGAGGCTGACAGCATGCTCTTATCTATTTATTCATTTACTTAGAGAAGATTAACAAAATAAAGGAAAATATGTAATGAGAGTAAAAGGGATATCTAGAGTGTATGTGTGATGACTAGCAATCGCTGTGCAAGAATCTGAATATGAGAGAGAGCTCAAATTGCTTCATTTCCTCAGCGTGTAATCATTTGAGATAGAATGCATATGTTAAAAACAAGTCATTGCATTCAGCTTCCAAACTTGTCATCATTCTTACCCAATGTTCGCATCACTAAGTGCTTGTGTATTCTGCCTAATCCTTTTCCAGAATATGTTATTTATAAATGATCTGCCCAAACGGGTCAATACCACTCAACAAGCCATCATGTTTGGTAAAATGGGTATTCATGATATACTGTAATGGCAAATTTGAGGAGGAATTTGTAAAAACTGGACATGGGGCCATAGTGTTCTGATTTATTGTTATTGGCAGTTATAACAGTACCCTTCCATGCACTGAATTTCGGGACAGTTACAACATAGATTTAGTAATTGTATATATAACAATATCAGTTCTATCAACATAATTGAAAGGAGAACTCAAGCCAAAATATTTTTTTTCTTTGTTGTGAAAAATACTCTTTTACACCAGTCCCCCGTTTACATGAGAGCGCCTACTTTTACATCAGTACTCCCCCCTTGCACATCAAAGTCCTCCCTGTCACATCAGAGTCCCCCTTTCACATTAAAAGCCTTCCTTTAAATCTGAGTCTCCACCCTTTCATATCAGAGTCCCCCCTTTCACATCAGAGTCCCTCTCTTTTACATCAGAGTCCCCTCTTTCACACTAGGAGCCCACCCCCTTCACATCAGATTCCCCCCTTTCACAGCAGGAGTTCCTCTTCACACCAGAGTCCTCAACCCCCTCTTCACATCACTGTCCTTGCTTACAATCTTCAGCGTGGTTGCGGCATCATTGCAGATGGTAGGAGGCAGAGCTGGTATGGAGAGAAGCAGGCCTCCATCATCTACTGAATGCTGCGAGGGGCCTAGATGCCATGGATCAATGTCATGCATTTCCATGGTGGGGGTGAGCGAGCTGCCAGCACCATAGCAATGATGGTGTGTCCTGGTTGGCCCGCCTGCACCATGGAAATGATACAAACTGGATATGGGACAAACTGACCCTGACAAACCGTTGAGAAAAGCTGAAATAGGGATAGCAAAACACTTTTTTTCTTTTACTAGAATGTGGAAGGGTTATCTAGTTGTATACTCAACATTAGTAGTGAATTGGTAAAGCTGCCCTACTGAATGTGAAGGGCGAGTTTTAGTGACATGTCCAGTTTAATGAATAACAAACATTTTTTAAATAAGCATACAGTACAAAGACAGACCTTTTTGTCTAATATCACACATTCTGTAAAGAATCAGAAAGATATTGCTTCCATTTATCAATATCAAATAATAACTGCCTGCGGAGCGAAATGAAATTTATGGAAGATCTGATTGGTTGGTCTTGGGCAATACAAACATATTGATAAATGAGACTTGTAAATCACAACTGTCAGACCCTGCAAACTAACCACAGTTCATGCTTTGACCAGACATGCCAAACTTGTTTTTAGGTAATGTGTGATCCTCACACTCTTTTCTTGTGTCCCTTGGCCAGTTTAAGAATTTCAACTGAATGAGGTCCCAGTCTGTTATATAGATCATTGGCACTATGTTTGATTTTTTTTTTGTGGATCACCGAATAAAATTGTATTTTACATTTTTCAATGTGCACTAATCAAATGTACAAAAATACAACATATTTTGTAAATGTTAATCTTTAGAAAAATGTTGTAGTGTTTTTCCAGTTAGATAGGTATGGTCCTCCATAGTGATAATGTGCCCATTACCAGGGCTGGGATAGGGGGCATGGTCCTGTACAATAATATAGAGGAGATACTCCCCCACCTCAATCACAACAGGAACCACAGTCAGTGACTTGGTGTTATACTGGGTGTTTTATAATTACTCATTTGTTGGGTATAATATAGCTATCTTCTCCATGTTCCAGCCTGTGATTACAACACATGGCAGAGAGAAGTCTTTCAGCATCAATCACCTGTGTGGCTTTTAGAGGCACTTTGCATGACACATCAGTACATGTGACAATGTGTGTCAACACACATAAATATATAATAACATATGTTTGTTGACATGTTTCCATAATTGGTTCCATTGAAATTCAATGGGAAGCCCAAATGGCAAACACATATGAATGGTCTTTAAGACAAGGCCCACCTTTCAACATGGCTACCATTCAATACCATGGCTCCATTCAGTACCATGGCACAATTTTGTTAAAGTGCAGAGGAAACCATCTCTACCATGAAAAAGCAGGTTGGTTGTGCATGCTACCACACCATATGTAAAGGGTTCAGCCATGTAACAGAATTAGATCACTAAGATGTTCACATTGGTTGCTATGGATCACTGCACTTTGCTCTTTGCATATGGAATCTGTTTAATTGTGAGAAGCTGCTTCATAGGATAAAACAAACATTAGATGCATTTAGGACATATACCTTTTGTATGGAAGAGGCTTCTAGTGCTTTGGTATACTGCAGTACAGCTTTGCCATGCTGATTTATATTTTGAAAAGCAATACCTAAGTGATAATAAGTTTCAAATATCTGAAAAAGAAAGCAATATTACATTATTATAAGTATATGTACAGCCAATCATATGTTTTAGAAAATTGCAAAGGCATTAAGAAGACTAAAAACGTAGATATATAAATACACATTATTTGCTTACAGACAGAGAGCTTTAAACAGATTCTCAGTGGAACAAAAGCAATATACTCTCTTAGCACCTTATTCTGGCACTGATTATCCTGTAGCAGTTGTTAAGCAAGGTGTGACTGCACTACCTGACAATAGTTGTCAAAATATTGCAACTACAACACAAGGAGCCCTGTTGAAATGTGTGTATATAGTAGTGACATATTGGAATACCAAGTCTGACAAATCACTGAATGGGCCTTTTGTCAAGGTTAAAACATGTAAAAAAGTGAACTTCTCATACAATAAATTTCTTTAATAAATATCTTAATATTAGGGTTGCACAGATACCAAGTACAGTACTCGGTACAAGTACGAGTACATGTACCAATACTTTTGAGCTCCAAGACTACACTACAGAAAAATTCAACAATTAGGAGGCAGCTGCCATTTGTAAGGAGCACACGGAGCTCCTGGGATTTGTACATCTCTGTTATAATGTACGATTTTGTTTTTATAAATATAAATAAAGGGATGCACAGATACCAGTTTTGCGAGTACGAGTACTGGTACTTGCCGAGTACTTACAAGTACGAGTACTGATACATTTTTGTTTATTGTCATGTGACAGTTTTTCTAAAACAATACAGACTAATGATTTCAGGACAGTGGTGGAGTGCCAGAGCCAGGTCCTAGCTGCAACCGCTGCAACCCTGGTAGTACTCATGAAAATGCCAAGTATCGGCATTGGTACTCGAAAAGTATCTGTGCATCCCTACTTAATATACTCACATATTCCATAAAATCAACATGCATCAAATGAAAACTTCAGTGATTCATCTTATTCCTTATACATCCAGAACAAAAATATCAACACTATGCAGAAATATACAGACCCCACTAGCTGGACCAGCCAGGTGCTGGGTGTGTGGTAATAGCTGACGCCTTTCTGGGGTCACACCCCCTTCCTCAAAGCTAATTACGCTTTACTACAATCAGGGCCATATTAAGAGCATCATGGGCCTGGTGCTGAGCACCCCCTCAGCACTGTCAGTCGGTTGGACTGTAGGTAGCAGAGGCAGGGCGGATGCAAGGATTTCTGCCTACACAGACGAAGGTGCATTTTGCGCCCCCCTCCAGGCGCCCTCAGGCACCTGCCTATGCAGCCTTAAACTAGCGCCAGCCCTGCCTGCCCCTCTCATCTCCAGCTCCTCATGTCCCCACAGGTGACCATCTCATTCCCGACACCTGGCTGTCCCCTGAGATCACCAGCCTATGCTTATAACCTCTTATCTCCGGCCCCTGCTTGTCCGCTCTCATCTCTGGCCCCTGCCTCTCCGCTCTCATCTCCTGCCCCTGCCTTTCCGCTCTCATCTCCTGCCTGTCAGCTCTCTTCTCTGGTCCCTGCCTATCGCCCTCATCTCCCGCCCTTGCCTGTGCGCTCTCACCTCCGGCCCCTGCCTGTGCGCTCTCACCTCCGGCCCCTGCCTGTGCACTCTCATCTCGGGTGCCTGCCCTTCAGCTCTTATCTTTGTTCCTGCCTGTCCCCTCACAATTGATCTCAGCGTCTTCTCGGTCTCTATTCTCTGGCCTCTAACTAACTAACTTCTGATATAGAATAGTCTGAGCCCAGTATACACACCAAGACACAAAGAGCCCCGACCTCTCCGCACTCCACTCACTGCACACACACAGCACACACAACACTCATACAACACATAATAGAAACACAGTACACACAGCACACATATAACATAATACGCTCACAGCACACATAATACACACACACACCACATAATACACACAGTACACATACAGAAGTCAATACACACACACATCACACACATAATACACAATAAAAACACACTCAGGGCAGCCATCAGTGGGGTAAGGCCGACACTCATGTAAGGGGCCCGGGCAGCCTGGGGACACGCACGGGTCCCTTACATGACTATCGGCCGATGGTGAAGGGCGAGGAGGCGGAGGCCTGGCCCTAGCAGTGCAGGGCCCCAGCATTGCCGCTCCAGCGGCGTTGAGACAAGCTAGGGCCCCATCAGCCACGCTGCTCGTCTGATGTGGGACTGGCCGGAAGTGACGTGACGTCACTTCTGTCCGGTCCGGCGGCAGACGAGGCCATGTGTGCAGGTAAGAAGAGCTAGGAAGGAAGGAAAGGAGGGAGGGATGCAGCCCTGACCAGCCCACCTGAGACCCCTTCAGAGCCCACCATAGACAGTCTCAGATGGGCTGTGCAGCATCTATGGTGGGCTCTGCAGGGTCACTCTCAGGTGGGTCCTGTGTCCAGCGCGTCACTAAGCCCTGCGTCCAGCGCGTCACTAAGCCCTGCGTCCAGCGCATCACTAAGCCCTGCGTCCAGCGCGTCACTAAGCCCTGCGTCCAGCGAGTCACTAAGCCCTGCGTCCAGCGGTGCGTGGGGGGGGGTGCCCGGCCTAAAGCCGTGTAAGGGGCCCCAAAATTTCTGATGGCTGCCCTGCACACACTACCCACATTGTACACTGCACACAATACACACATAGTGCACACTCACATTACACACTCACAGTACACAGATTGAATTGGTATTTTTGTCCAGCACATTACGCCATGTTGCCCCTGGCTCCCTGTGTCATTACACTACATGTGATCCTGAACACACAGCTGGAGAGATCACATTGGCACACAACACAAGTAGGACCATCCGAGGGACACAGTGATCATTAACCTGTTCTGTGCCAGACCAACACACATGGGAACTTCAGATATTATAGCCAAGAACTATCACTATACAACTCAGAGCGGAACCCCAGAGGGGCCCCAGGATCCCACAACCTACACTACTTACTTGGGTCATAGATCACTATTTTGCCCATCTAATGTCCACTACGAGCAGCCCAGGGAGGGAGGAAGGGAGGAGGAGGAGGCTGAGACATGGAGAGACCAAGAGGAACTACATAAGGATGGGATATCCTATGTGAGGAGAAAGCATGGGCCGGCTAACACACACTGTGTGACATGAGGACCACCTACCACTCTGTATTGCAGGAGCAGCTCTCTAATTAGGTGGCTGCTCACTCCTGGCTGGGGCTCTGCGAGGCCCCAGGGAGGGGCTACCTGATTACAGAGTCAGCTCTTCTTGGATGGCATTCTTTTGGATACTCCTTTTTTTATAAGCATTCCCCGTCCACAGCGATAGTTTACATTGGACACCCCCATATGTGCCTAGAGCTTCACGTGTAGAAAAACTTGTGGTTATTTATTTATTATAGGTATTTATACAGCACCTACAATTTACGCAGTGTTTTACATAGTGCA